CTCAAAGCTTGATGAATCTTTTCAAGTACAAGCAAGTTGAAGATCCAATGTTCTTTTACATAGTGCAAGTAGATCAAGAAAACCAAGTGACAAACTATTTTTTTGAGGGACGGAAGGTGCAAACTCGATTATGAGTGCTTTTGGTACATGATGGTATTTCATACTACATATTGAACCAACAGGTACAACATGATTTGCACTCCTTTTGTAAGGGTTAAATATCGTTGGCATAATTAGTTGTTTGGTTGTGCTTTTTTGTTGGATGAAAAGATTCCTACATTTCGGTAGTTGTTTGAGACATTCTTAGATAACAAGCTCCGCAGTCAGGCCGGATCGGGTGTTTCCGAACCTTGAGTCTTTGTAGGGACTCCTTCATCTTTCTTTTCCAGTGGGACTCTATTTATGTTGTATTTGAATTTCTTAGATATGCTTAGTGTCGCCCGCTTAGGGTTTGAATTGTGAGGCTGGAGGCCTTTGTTGTAAATTATTTAACTGCTTTTAAAGCATGCTGTTAGTTGGGTTTATTAACTGTAAATTTTGAGTAGGTTGATGTTTGTGAAATTTTCAATTTACAGGAGAGACTCTGTCAAATTTTTGGTAGAAAGTTTCGGTCTTTAGTAAGTGGGCCCGGCATCGGGGTGATGTCGGTAATTAGGCAGAGTCCATCCCGATTTTCGAGGAAATTCGGGGCGGGTCCTGTCACACTAAGCAAGATCGGGTCTATAGACAATAAATATGGTGGGAGGCCTTGGGACTAAGCCAAGCTGTTTCTTTCTTTCTCCCTTGGCTGCTATGTCAGTGACATCGGTAGTGGGAGAGTTGAGCGGTTTCCTATACTTCGGAGATTCACGCTAAGAAATATATTGAGGGTCGACATGTGTGGTCGAAAGCAATGATATCCAGTCGGCAGCAATGCCGAAAGGATATTTTTTCTTGAAATGCCCAAATGGGTGCTCCTTGTGATGGTGAAGGTGCCAAAGCATGTGTGGGAACTCCCATTCCAACAGTGATTGTTGGTAACAACAAAGAACATACAGCTAGCAAGGGGAGACCCGATCCATGCAGCATGATGCTGGGCAAATTATTGCTTGATAGTATGGTGGACGTTGACACGTTAGATGTTCGCATAGTGCCCAACTCGTTGATGTGGCTCTTAGCGATACAGGGGTTGGTAGAGTGGAGCTCGACGGAAATCATAAGGTAGTTGATATGAGGTGTTTTGACGTTTGAATGGTGCAGAGCACCCCATGCCTATGTGTCTAAGAAGGCATCCAAGGCCATAGACGAACTTGGAGAATGGTGAGGTTCATGAGCAACAAGTATGCCAACCATGTAAGTTGTATGTCCAAAGGTGCATTGGCTTCATCTCTTGTTGGTCCAGCAATGTGGTGGTCAACCATGCAAGGAGGTTGGGTCGACATGCGACACGGAGGTTCGCCATGCAAGGTGTGGCATCAAGCTAAGCTAAACACATTTTGGAAAGGTGATATTAAGATGGTTTGAGCACACCTTGGAGCTGTAATGCCGAGCAAATCACATAACAATGCATATTATGTAAGCATGTTTATAATGTATTAGCATGATGGAGCAGTTGTATTTGCATGTAAATTTATTTGCACTTATATGCTAAAGAGTATATGCATTGGTGGTGGGGCATGGGCATTTACTACCGAGCCAAATGTAAACAACCAATGAATATGAGATAAAAGTGACATGACACCACAAACATGCACAATAATAAAGTCACCATGTGCATCTCATTTTTCAAACATATAAAAATATACATATTTTATGCCTTCACGTGGTTGGCTTTATAAAGGGTGCAATGGCCACAAGGCATCTTAATAGTACATAGGTTTTGCATAACATGGCAGGAAGATAGTAGTAGCATACAATATTATAATGTAAATATCACGGCAGGAAAAGATTTATTCTATCTTTAGTGGGCACATGGATAAAGTTGAGTCAAGCTCCCTTATAATAGTTTTAAAAGGATACATATTCCAATTGTGGGGAGCCATATATATATATGTGATTTTATAACTCGCTTGGTGTGGTTTGTAACATCCCACATCGACCAGCGGAGAAGGGGTGATGTGCCTTATATGCACATACCTACCTCTATTTAGCACGAGGCATTTTGGGAGCTCACTGGCTTCGAAGTCATGGGAACTCCAAAGTTAAGCGAGTTAGAGCTAGAGCAATCTCAGGATGAGTGACCTACTGGAAAGTTGCTGGTGAGTTCTTAAAAACAAAATCTTGAGGGTAGAGATGGGGGCCCAAAGCGAATAATATCGTGCTACGGCGGAGCCTATCCCGGGATGTGACAATTTGGTATCAGAGCCACTCTGCCGTGTGGTGCGAGTTTGTCGACAAGGACGTTGGGCCCTTAAAGGGGGTGAATTGTAACATCTCACATTGACCAACAGAGAGGGAGTGATGTGCCTTATATACACATGCCCACCTCCATCTAGCACGAGGCTTTTGGAGAGCCCACTGACTTCGGAGTCATGAGAACTCCGAAGTTAAGCGAGTTGGGGCTAAATCAATCCCATGATGGGTAATCCATTGGGAAGTTGCTCGTGAGTTCTTAGAAATAAAACTATAAAGGTAGAGAGGGGGGCCCAAAGTAGACAATATCGTGCTATAGTGGAGCCGATCCCGGGATGTGACACGGTTCATATTATTGACTCAGAGTATTTGTAGACCCAAACGTGGTTTGCCAAATTATCATGCGATGGCTGATGAATATGGCTTAATATGATAAAGAAAAATGAGACATTTTGTCTACGTTTCCCACATACAACGCCAACTGTACGAGTGATTTAGCATAGGCCCTGAAAGATATACGAACAGTCACTGTAGAGCTTGGTATTTATATTTCACTATGAAGGAGTATTACAATATACATGGAAAGAGGCTCTAGAGTCTTAGAATAGTAAATGGGAGAGCCTGATGAGGTCTCTCATAAGCCCCTCTCAATCGTAGATAGACCTTTCGTTGGAAAATGGGTATTTTCCATTATATAGGAAGAATATGGGAGCCATGCATGCCTCTTGTTTAATGTGCAGCATGAGTTGGTCACTTGAGGCACATGAAGAACGCCAATCTTGGTATTTGCGGCATGTGGGAGACCAACATAAGTGGTCCACTTGCTTGGGCATGCTAGGTCAGCTAGAAGGAGACGTGGGCCTTCCTTTATGTGCATGGGTTTCCTGCCTTATCAAATGATAAGGTATACAAGACTTAACCCACGTGGGAGGCCACTATATTGGAGAGAGCACGTGAGGCCAATGATGGTATCAACAACTCTTATTCAACATTAAAAAATCACACCCAAACAAAACCAACCCAAGCCCATAACTGAGGCATGGAAGAAGAGAGACCCAAACAAAAACGAAAAGCAGTAAATCCATTGTCGTCGGTACCGCAGTGGGGACATGGTAAACATCACCAAAACTGTTGCAACCTAAGAACCTACATGAACAAAGAAAGAACCCCCATAAATTTGGAGAGAGAAAGAAAAAGAGGTTGAAAGGGAAGAGGAGAAAAGAAGAGGGAGAAGAGATGAAAGAGAAGGGAAGAGGGCAGAAAGGACCTCCCCCTTGTTGCAACATTGTAGGGAGACTAGGGTTTGGGTTTGAGAGCAACAACACAAAAAAGTTTTGACTAAAGTATACCATGATTGCATGATACAAAATATACATTTGTACTTAAACGGTATTTTGATGCAAATTGGATTTTGATAGTATATAAACCAAGTCAACTGGTTGATACGTTCTTGCCATGGAAGGTGCCAAGGACCTTATTATCTCTTTTCTCCTATTTCGGGGGTCACAATCTGATTTGTCCTTTACTACTATTGTGAATTACTACAAGGACCTAAACGCAATTACTGAAATCACTACCAAAGTGAAAATCATTCAAATTATGGGCCGATTAAAAAAGAAAATAAAACTCATTTCCATTTAGAGGTGTTAAACAGACTGAGCCGGCTTGACATGGCACGAGAACAGCCGATTTAAGTAAGGCCTAGCACGGCACAACCAGTATCTTTGGGCCGTGCCAAAACGAGGTAATTAGATCCTATGAATTGTGGTGGCTTGTGCCCCGTCAATAGCCGTGCCGGCCCAAAACTCAATGGGCCCGGTCCATTGAAAGCCCATTTATTAAATTATACTTGTTTTAGAGAAAAATAATACATAATATTATTACATTTATATCTTATATTCAAGTCTATTGCTATTCTTTAATAATATATATTAAAATTTAGTGTTTTATTTATATATAAAATAATGATTTTGTTTTTCAATTTTCAATTTTTAAATCCAAACAATAATCTAGTCATTTTCTATTTAAATGTACTTTAAATAAAGTTATTGGCATCTTTTTTCAACAAATAATAAATCTTGTTTGTATATACATAATTGTAAAAAATATTTAAATGAAGTTTTAAAAAAAATTACAAAAATAAAATAAAAATGCAATACATAAATCAAATTTGGCGATCCCCCATTTTAGTTCGTTTAGTGGCCCGACATGAGCATGGCCATATACATAATTGTAAAAATAAATAAATGAAGTAGTAAAAAAAATTACAAAAAAAGAAGAAGCAATACATAAGTCAAATTTGAAGTGGGCCCATATCGATCTGTTTAGGAGCTCGACATGAGCACAGCCCGAGCCACAAAAGCTCGAGCCGTAGGCTCAAGCTGGAATTGATGATTTTCCTAAATGGACGAGGCCAACTCTAAATAGATCGGGCCAGCCCAACACAGTTCGTTTAACATCTCTATTTCCATTAAAACCAAAGGCTTAACTCTTGATTTGCCCCCTAAACACATACCTAACTTTTAATTTACCCCTAATTCTCTCTTCTTCTTTTTTTAAAAAATAAAATAAAATAAAATAATGGATATTAACTTTTTTAACCCAATTTGGCCCCTGACGTCTTAATCCGCAACATTTATCCGCGGTTGGCATCGTCAGCTTTCCCAAACGTGACCTACCTAGTGTGAGTATACGGTATTAAACTATAAATCTCCATCTCATTTTCACCTTCAACTATCTTCTCTCAGCCCTCGGCATCGTCAGCTTTCCCAAACGTGATTGTCGAGCACCAGCCACTCCCAATTTCACGTAAGATTTTCTCCACTCGTCCCCTATTTCTTCATCCCATATTCGAATTCCCACCAATCTGATTTGGCCTAACGCTTAGATCTAGGGTTAGTGTTTGTTGCTTGTCTCTGTTTTCATTTTCCCGTTACATTTATTATTTCATCGATCCCTATTCTGTGATTTGATCGGCTTAAGCGGTTGCTATATTTTTATTCTTTAATGACCCGATTAGATGGTTGCTCAATTAGGGTTTCCTGTTTTTTGGGGGAAAATTTCAGAAGGAATTCCGTTGATTCAATCTTGATGTGGGATGTCAATTTTCTATTCAATTTGTCATGACGTTTATTGCAAACTAGTAATTTTGTTTGGTAGGTAAGTTGTGGGTTGAGTGGTAAGGACTGGGGCTTCAGTAACTCATGCTCGACAGTTTTGGGTTTATGATGGTGTTATGTTTTAGACTTAAGAATAGAGAGGAACGATTAATTTGTAGAATTGCATTCTCAGAAATGCCACTTTTCTGCACACACAAAAAGGTCGAAAGTCTTCAGTTTGAATCTGACCCATTGTTATTTCGAGGTGCTTCATTGGCTAAGAAAATGGCATTAAGATACTGTACTAGCAAATTTCTTGGTGCATTAAGATAGTGTACTAGCAAATTGTTTGGCACATATTAACTGAACTTTCATAAATTATCAATATGTTGGATTCAGTTTTCAAGTTTGTGGGCTGATTGAGAAGGGGATTTATGGTTTTTCTTTGCTGTTGGTTTATGAATTTTGATTACCATCCTTTTGGAATAATCCTGGTGAGCCGATGATGAGTTTGGTAATGACATTCTTAAAATTTCTATGACTTTTTGTTTGTCTCTAAATTTCAAATATTCATCCAAGTTGAGTTTATAACAATTTTTCATGTATTATATGTTGAAGTTGTTGTCAAACTACAAAATTGGTTTTCAGATCATGTATTCCATGAACTGGGGGACTAAAAGTTAGTTTTGTTTGTTATAGCATCGATGTAAACACGATTTCTGTGTTTTCTATTTTTTATTATTACAAAACATGAATTTCTGTTGGAAATGAAAGCATGTGATGGGAATAGAAACGATGAAATATTTGAATAATTTTCTTTTTGCTTTCTTAATGGTTCAAGATAACTCATTCAGTCCAGCGTGATTCATCTCCAGCATTGTATGTCACTATTGTCTGTGAAGTGATTCTTAACTGCCATTTTTTGACACCTAAGGGTCTTCCTGAAGATTGATAAAGTCACAGTATTGGATAGCATTCTGGAGCTTTAGTTTTGTGATCATGATGATTGAATAAACTATAAGCTCGTCCGCATCATTATCAGTTGAATTGAACTGCACATGATAGTAGTTTCATAATGATTTATGTGTGCGCATGCACCTGAGTATTCATCATTATAAAGACAGTGTAAAGAATTCTATAGAAATAATGAAGCTTAAATAGAATGGAGCCAGATGATGTATTACTATTTTCTTTATACCTACTTGTTTTTTTTTTTTTTTTTTGTTTCTCATTTTAGTATGTATGTTATTTTTTAAATTAGCGCATTGTTTTGCTGATCTGTTCTCTGTTCAACTTGGCCGTGTCGTGTTGAAAAAGATGAGTATCTAATAAATCCAGTTCGTTTGTGCTCTTAACTATTTGAAAGTGATTGTACAGTGGACAAGTAGTGTGGCTACTGATGCTGGTGTATAAATTGTGCTTGTTAGTTTACAATACCATTTTGTAGTACACATTTTGTGTTTGGAATAGGTCAATGAGTGCTGGAATTATTGCCTAAGTGGGAGGAGGGGTTTTTACCTAAGTTGAAAATGAAATATATTTTGAAAATATTTATTGACCTGAACCAAATTTAATAAATTCTGACATCACAAGTAGCTAATTGCTGCGTTTCTGCAGAAGCTTGATGCAGAGTTTGTGCATTGATTAAGTCGAATTAAGTCCATCCTGTCCTAATTTGGTAGACTGCCCCCTTCCCCTTCTTTTCTTTTTCAGTGTAACTAGAAGGATGAGTGTATGGTCTAATGGGACAGTTTGGGCGACCTTTGTCTCTCTTTAGCAATTGAGGCCTTGTCCTTTCCCCCTCTGGGTTGATGGTGCGTATCCAGTGTTGATATTTTTCTTTGGTGCGACTTCAGTTGAACCCTAAATATAAACCAGAGAGCGCACAATGGTCTTTCCCCTTCAGGAGAAGTTTAGTTTTTGGAAGTTGCTTTCATAAAATGACGTTTAATAATGTTTTGATCTATAATACAGGATGTCAGAAGAAGCACCCTTCCGACCACGTGAGAAGCTCCTCGAGAAACAAAAATTTTTCCAAAGCGTCCACAAATACACATATCTGAAGGGACCCTATGATAAGATCACCTCTGTCGCCATTCCAGCTGCTTTAGCTGCATCTTCTTTGTTCCTTATTGTAAGTTTCTAATTATTTCATGTCTTTTAAGGCTTTCTAAGCCGTATTTATGATGAAAGCGTAAATTTCCATACTTCTTGCAATCTAATTGTAAGGTTTTATGACATTTCCTCCAGGCACGAGGAGTCTACAACATGTCTCATGGTATTGGAAAGAAGGAATGAGGCAGCTCTTAAAAATGACCATTGGCTGGCAACCAAAATGCATAAATTTATGTGCTAGTCTCAAGTGGTGCTCTTGATTTTTTTGTGTTTGTTTGCTCTAATAATTGCTTAGTAGCAGATTCTGTACTTCCTTTGAAATCTGAAACTTTTCGTTTGAAATTTTTGTTAATGGAATTTTCTGCTTGGTTATAAATACTGCACCCTTTTCATTGAACGCTTCAGCCGCTCATTCGAAACGTCGTTATCCTCTCATTTGTGGTTTCACCTCATTCATGTTCAAATATGGATGTTTGTTTTTTGTCTCTCATCCTGCGCTTTATTATCACTGACAGTGAAAAATGTTCACGAACTTTATCAAATAGATGTTTTGATTCATCAGTTCCAGTTGAATCATTTCATTTAAAGATCAAACCCTATTATTGAAAGAATAGTAATGCTGACAGAACAAACTATCTAAGATTCGAACATTACAGGGAATTAAACTGAGTAGGGGAGGCCCAACTCTATCCCACTTATTTATTGCAGATGACTCTTTAGTCTTTTTGAGAACCACTAACCAGAAGTGCCGAAGCTTCCTGAATTTGCTTGATGGGTACTGCACTCCATCTGGACAACAGGTGAATTACAGCAAATCCTCCATCTATTTGTCTCCTAATGCTTCCCCCGAGTTAGAAGCTGAAATTGGGGTAGCTCTTCGGATCAACCCAACCACCGATCCCGGAGTTTCCCTTGGGATCCCAGCAATTCGGGGCATATCAAAAAAGGATGCTCGAGGGTATATTTGCGACAAAATTCAGAAGATGGTACATGGTTGTAAAGCCAGTTCTTTGACCATGGCTGGTAGGGAAGTTCTAATCAAATCTGTGCCTCTTGCGATACCTGCATATCTTCTGTCTTGTGTCAAATTTCTCTCCTCCACTTGCAAAGCTATTAATGGGGATTGGGGATCGCATGATGACGGAGGGAACAAGATTTATTGGAAAAGCTGGGAGCATCTTTGCCTTTCCAAGAGTGATGCAGGTATGGGCTTCAGGGACATTGAGACTTTCAATGTAGCCGTCCTCGCAAAGCAGTGCTGGATACTCTGGAATAATCCGTATGCCATTTGGGCTGTTATTGTGAAGAGTTGTTATTATTGGGCTTTCTCGAGTTTGGGCAAAAAGTCCCTTCCTGCCCATTCTTCTCACCAGATTGATACTCATGTGTGGAAAACAACTTGGAAAATTGACGTGGTTCCAAAGATAAGGAACTTCCTTTGGAGGGTAGTGTCAAATGCCATGATCCATCCCTACCAAATTTAATGTATATAGGAGGAAAGTTAGTTGCAATCCTCTATGTCCTTTCTGTGAACTACATGAGGAATCTTTGGAGCATATTTTATTTCTTTGTCCGCGGGTGAAGGGTTGTGTGGTTTGGCGCACCTCTGAGCTACAAACCGGATATGCAGAGAATCTCCAAGTTCGATGTTTGGCTTTTGGCCCTGAGCTCCAATTCTGCAATTCCTAGTCATGTGCGAAAGGCAGTGTTAGCATTATATGTTGGGAGATATGGAAGGAAAGATGCAACGCTTTTCTTCTCACATTTCCCTCCCGATCCTGGTATTGTGCTCAGGAAATCAAAATCTTACCATATTTGGGTGGCTGGATTCAAAATCTTCCCACATTTGGGCTTAGCAGGATCCAATCATTATTAGTGCCTTTACCTCGCACAAATATTTGAAAAATCATCTTTAGTTGTCATTTTCAGTCCAAAAAAACTATAGTTGTTATCACTTTCGGAATCAATAATAGAGTACGGCAAAGGGGGAAAATCTGACAAATGCAAAACTAGATAAATCGATAAAGACCTAGCCAGCCAGGTAATTTAAACCAACATTCTCCCCAATTAACCGCATAGATTCGTCATGGTGTGATGTAGCCCCCGAGCCAATCCGCATATAGAATTTCATCTCAAAAGATCTCGGTACAATTTATACCACTTAATTAACCCATTTGTCGACTTTTTTAAATAAAAAAAATATGACATTTGTATTTGATTCACAATTCCGAACAAATTATTGTGCATGTTGGGCGTGATGTATATAAATTTTTTTACTGCTATGAGTCATGGCTGGCATGACCCAGAATGTGTCTGCCTCATGACATACTGTCACAGTCAACATTGACGGTGCTTAAAACGTGTGGTACACAATACATGTTACATGCTCATATTAGCTCCAACAACTTTTTACTCTCCCATGAAGCTAAGAGGTCAAAGGACCAAAGTGATTTAGGGTTTTTATAACATGCAGTTAGCAAATAGGGTTTTTGGGCCAACTCTAGGGACAAAGCAAAATTGAAAGAATCAAAAGCTGAAACTTTGTGTTCAATTATAATATAAAATAGGAAAATTCTACCATATTATAATTATAATTGATGTCCTAACAAACTTAAATTTATTTGGGTACAATGAAAACCTGACAAAGACACAATAGAAGATAAATATCCTGCAATTGGCCAGGCACTGCCCTGGTGACAGGGTAAAGCACTTGGAGAGCTGTCCAAATGAAATGAATGCATGCTGCCTATATATATACAAAGAGTTTTTATTGAGCTTCCATGTAAAGAGATGCTCATCTTTCATGCAAATCACAGTTTGACATATATATAAAAATAATTCATCAAAAGCACGAAAGGAAAAATTTATGCATGCATATCACATTGCTATTGACAACAACGTAAAAGCTCATACTTTCTTGGCATGGAGGGAAGTATTTTCCTTTGTTAAAAACTAGTTGAGAAATTCTAATTAATCTCACTAATCATGTAGATATGTTAGTGAATTAAATATATTTTTTAACAGACTATATGCGCGATTTAATGTTTGATATTAAAAGTCCTTAAATAATTCTTAATGTAGACTTTACCTCTATATTTATCCTAATTAGAGCATTGACTGTGAGTCCGTGACTTATTACTAGCCAAATCATTAAAAGGGAGGAGTAGGCTATGATGCTGATATTGGCATTTTTTTAAACAAACTAGATAGGGATTGTTCATCCTAAAGAGGAGAAAGAAAGGGAAGAGTAGATAATTGGACTCAATAGAGGTTGACAGAAGAGAAGAAGAAAGATAATTATAGTAAACCTAATTCTCTATTATCCATTAATAAGCAGCTAATACAAAACCAACTTATGATAAGGGCCTACTTGTATAGCTTAATCTTATCTTGGAATATCTAAATATTTTATAATATAACTAAACCTTGAATTTTACTCAAAAAAAAAATATATAAAAATAATAATTCAAGGTTCCTCAATTGTATCCATCATCAAAGTTAAACTAGTGGTTTGAATCCAACTTCAGGTACAAAAGTCAGTATATTGAGACATTATTGGTAGTTTTCCTTCCCCCCCCC